AAAAAGATTTTAAAGATTGTTCAATTGAGTTCTTGAATTCTATTTTTGTTGGATTCAGGAAGAGTAGCAAAATAGTTATTGGCCATTCCATTTATTTTGCCTATGCTTCTAATGCATTTATTATGTCATGTGATATATACTCAAGATCTACTTGACTCTGGTCATTAACATGATTGCAAAAACTCAATGGGTAAAACTTTATAAAATTTTTAACTAGTAAAAATCTGGTTTTACTACTAAAAATGTTACATGGTTCCTGGTTAATCTACTTCTAGGTTTCCAAGATGGGCCCTTAAGAAAGAAGTTTGTTGCACCCACTATTTGGCAACCACTAATATGGTGGGTGCTTAATATGTTGTTGTTTCTATTATCATTCTTGTGTCCGCACAAATTTCCTTTTCCTATATTGTATTTTGCAATTTTAATAAGTATATGTACATAAAAGAAGGGAAGTTTAGCATACCTCATTAGTTGGATGCTTTATGGGCCTTTCCTATTGATCATCCATTTTGATTTTCATTGAGGCACCAATGACAATTTCTTATGTAAATTGAATTGCAGTTGAGTGCTTTGTTAGATAACTTCCTTCTGTTATATGCATGATTGCATAATATGGTATGTCATTATGATGCCAGTTCTTTTTCTTTCCTTCTGGTAGCATCTTCAGGTTTTGGTCAGAAGCCTGGTTTTGGCTTTGGATCCAGTACAAGTCAGTCCCCTTTTGGAAGCTCAACTCAGCAAACACAGGCTGCATTTGGAGGCAGTATATTTGGTTCCTCCACACCTTTTGGATCTTCAAGTCAATCCGCATTTGGCTCAAGCACCCCTGCATTTGGTGCCACAACTACCCCTGCGTTTGGTGCCACAAGCACCCCCGCGTTTGGTGCCACAAGCACACCCGCTTTTGGTGCCACAAGCACACCCGCTTTTGGTGCCACTAGCACACCCGCTTTTGGTGCCCCAGGCACTCCTGCCTTTGGTGCCACCAGCACTCCTGCTTTTGGATCCACTGGAAGTCCAGCATTTGGTAGTACAGGTACTGCATTTGGTGTGTCAAATGCTCCAATCTTTGGAAGTGGAGGTGCCTTTGGGGCTTCAACTTCTTCTGTCTTTGGATCATCAACCACCCCTTCTTTTGGGGCTTCAAGTACCCCTGCTTTTGGAGCTTCGAGTACTCCAGCTTTTGGGGCATCCAGTACTCCTTCATTTGGCTTTGGGTCCAGCCCAGCCTTTGGCCAGTCAACTTCAGCATTTGGTAGCAGTCCATTTGGAACTACTACATTTGGAGCCCAAAGCTCTCCCTTTGGTGAGTTTTTAAAATGTATATAATTGGTTGTTAGGAATAATTGGATCTATATGATTATTCTTCTTCTATAGCTGCCCAATTGGCTTATTAACTTTCAGCTTATGTTTCTTTTATTTGGTCAGTGCTAAATTTGTAAGTGTGTTCTTCCCATGCAGGAGCTCAGTCTTCAACACCGGCATTTGGAAGCACTAGCTTTGGACAGGCACCTTTTGGGGGTCAACGTGGGGGCAGTAGGGTGACTCCTTACATGCCTACTACTGAGGCAGATGGTGGCAGTGGTGCACAGCCAGCTGGAAAGCTGGATTCAATATCAGCAATGCCTGCCTACAAAGATAAAAGTCACGAGGAGTTGAGATGGGAGGATTATCAGTTGGGAGATAAAGGTAGATTTTGTTAAATGGATCTAAAATTATGGAAATTAATTATGCTTGTAGCTTATTCATCATACTTAACTTGTCTGCCTTGGAATTTTATTTTTAGGTGGTCCACAGCCTGCTCAGTCCACTGGTGGGATTGGCTTTGGTGGATCAACCACACAGACAAGTCCTTTTGCTCCATCTCCAACACCAACACCAACACCAGCATTTGGTCAAACACCTGCAAATCCTTTCTCCACCACCACACCTTCTAATCCTTTTGCTCCTAAAACTCCAACCTTCGGTAATACAGGTTTTGGAACCTCAACTACTACAGCAAACCCTTTTGGAACAACTTCAACAAACCTTTTTGGAACAACTTCTTCAACATCACCCTCACTATTTACTTCAACATCATCTGCTCCTTTTGGAACTGGTTCATCTCTTTTTGGTTCATCAACTGCGCCTTCATTTGGGTCTTCACCATCCCTTTTTTCTTCTGCACCAGCTCAGGCAACAACCCCAACTTTTGGAACAGGTTTAAATTTTGGCAGTCAGACATCCCCTCTGTTCAATTCCACAACCCCTTCAATCGGACAGACGTCTAGCAATCCTGTCTTCGGACAGAATACTACTAGCTTTGGTCAAACAAGCATTTTTAATACACCTTCTACTGCATTTAGTGGGAACTTATTTTCAAACTCTTCATCCCTTGTTCCTCCTAGCAACCAAGGTGGCTTTGGCCAAGCTACTGTAAGTCACTTTTTAAGATATTTTCAACTAGTCTTCTTTGCCTTTAAATGCATATTCTTTTTCCCTATTTATTTATGATTTGATGATCTGATGTTACTGAGTGTTATCTTCAACTTTGATTTAGACATCTGCATTTGCTTCTAGTGCATGTTTTCAACTTTTCATTTTGTTGATTTAACAGGGATTGAGGTCGTCTTCCTCTGGTATTCTTTGTTGTTCATTTTATGTACACTCCAATCATTGTTAATTGGGAAGTACACCAACATATCCAATTTTCTTTCCGTTAGGAGTCCTGCAGTTGAATCAATGATTTTCTAAAAGTCTAAATAGATATCTCTTTTACTTTGCTAGTTGAGATGCCTATGCTCTGGTTGAACTAAAAGATTCACTTTGAATATATCTTAGAATATAAAAGTTTCAATGTTAAAGAAATTATGAAATTTTTAAAAATATACCTGGATAAAGGCTTGTGTTGTTTTGTTAAAACCTAATTTGTGAACTTGGATATACTTTTTGGGGCCAATAATCTGGATACATATTAGTAAATAGTGAAGATAACTTTTGGAGTTTTCAATGATCTACAAATGATTTTTTGATCAAACTTCTTGTTCTATTTGGTCTTGTTTATGTCTTTTGTCTGATTCTGTTCATTTAAGTTCTGATCTCGTCTCTTTCTGCAGCCCATTTTCTCTTCATCTTTTCAACCTGCCCAGCCTGCTCAGGCCACTAGTTCTTTTGGCTTTAGCAACTTTGGTCAGACCCAAACAGGTAATTCCTTCTTTATATATATATATATATATAGAGTAGGGATCCATTTATAGACAGGTTTTACATGCTACAATTACACAAAATCTCAACCATTCATCTCTTCACTTTCAGTGGTTGAGATTTATTCACATTTATTAAAGATAATTATTTTTTTCACCTAAAAAGTAATGATAAATTTCAACCACTGAAAGTAGAGAGATGAATGATCGAGATTTTGTGTAACCCTATGTTTGGGTTGAGGGGAATGGAGGGGAGGGGAATTATTTCCTCCCATTCCCCTCACCTCCCTTCCCCTCATTTGGATAAATAACTAAATTAAAATAAAAGAATAAAGGAAAGTAAAATTTTCCCCTCCCTTCCCCTTCAATTTTTTTGATAACCAAATAAAGAATTTTTTTCCCCTCCCTTCCTCTCCATTCTCCTCAAATGAAACATACTATAAGTGTGGTGCGTAAGACTTGTGTGTAAGTGGATCCCTCCTCACACACACAGACACACACACAGACACATACACACATATATATAAAATCTTGAACCTTCTTGTAGCTGCTGACATATATGATCTTTTTTCCTTGTAGGTGTTACATCGAGCGTTTTTGGTCAAAATGCATTTGGACATTTGTATGTCTTAATCTACTGATCTTGCCTTTTTTAAACATTCAGTTAGATGTCAGCAGATAAACACTGATACCCCATCACATATACCATGCTTACGCCTCCGCACGTTTGGTTCTTTGGTTTTATACTATACATGCAAGTTTGCATGCGTATACTTGCAAAACATGTCCATAAAGTTCTAAGATCTACAGGTGGTTATCCAAATGATTTAGTATTCTGTTTAGATTTCTTACCCTTGCATGTTATTGTGTGTGAAGGTCTGCCACGCAAAGTGCTGCTGTTGTACAACCTGTGACCATTAAAAATCCATTTGGAGCACTCCCTGCGATGCCTCAAATATCAATTGGTCGAGCTGGAACTGCACCATCTGTTCAATATGGGATTTCTAGCATGCCTGTAAACCATTGACCTGCTCTGAACTTGAGTTTCTCTACATCTTCAAGCTTTGATCTGCTGTTCTTTGTTGTCTCTATGTTGCTAATTTTCCATGCTTTTTGTTTCCCAATAATTCTATGGTAAATGAAAATGAAATGATTATAATTTGAGGACTGGTAATGTTCTTCATTCACATCAGGTCATTGACAAACCTGCTCCTGTTAGAGTGTCTACTCTGTTGACTTCTCGACACCTATCCCAAAGGCGGATTAGGTTGCCTGCAAGGAAGTATCATCCTAACAATGATAGTAGGAAGGTGAGGATGCCGCTTCAAGGGAAAAAATCCCACACTTTGGACACTGGGGTTTGCAGATAGATGGTTACTTCTTTATATATATATATATATAAACGTTTTCTGATAGTAACTTGTCTGTTTGTTGATTGAAATATTGTCAGGTTCCATTTTTCAGTGACGATGAGGAGACACCAAGCACACCTAAGGCAGATGCTGTTTTTATTCCTAGGGAAAATCCGAGAGCTTTGGTCATTCGTCCCACAGAACATTGGCCATCAAGGGCTTTTGCTGATAAGATATCACCAATGAAGAATCTGTCTACTCCAGTTCAAGAGACTGGTAAGAGAACAAGTAAGTGCAGGAGGCTACACAAAAACTAAAAAAACAATAATTTTTTAGGTTTAAAATCAAGAGCTTATCTTAGAAATTAGTTGTAGATTTATTAGCACAACCTTTCTTTTTCTTGTTTTTGGTTAATTATAACAACATTTGATGATATAAGTATTTCAGAGCAGTCTCAAAAAGATGTAGGGGCCCTGACCACTGTTGATAGGATACAAATGCTGCTGCTGGGTCTCATTAATAAGTCATTTTGGTTCTCCCATTTATTCAAGGGGGCAGGGAAGCATGATGATATGTTTAGGAGATATTTAGATTTTTTTTTTTTTTATGCATTGGCATTTTCCTCATAAGAGTGGTTTGTTGTCAGTTTTATGATTTTTAATCTTTTGTCAATGATTAATTCATGTTCAGTTGGCTGACTATTTGAAATATGATGCTCATTCAGGCAATGTTTCTATTGGTGGCTTAAATGCTGAGGATAAAGATAGTAAGTAACTTGAAGCCTTTTAGATTTCACTTTACTGGGTTTATAGTTTCTGCTTTTGTCTGCTGTTATATCTTCCTTTTATTTGGTTTTTATGCAGTTAAACACTTGCATGTCTTGGAATAATTCTTTTGTCCTTTTGGTTTTCGTCTTATTTACTGTTTGATGCATTTGTTTCTCAACTTTGGAAGATAACTGTTTTCCTTTTTCTGAAGTGATATTCATATATGGGGATATAATATAAATAAACAAATATAGCAGGGATAATTTGGCATGTTTGGTGGAGCTTAAAAGCAAGTTTGCTTTTAAGCAAATTCTTCTCTCACAGATTTGAAAATCTGTTGGAGAGAAATTTTGAATTTGGCTTTTGAAGTGGTTTATATTAACTTGGCACAAATGTGACTAGTTTTTTCTTGTTGATGTTTTATGCATCTTTTTCTGTGATCTGGTTTCTGCTGAACTTAAGAGCAAATTAGTTATTGTGTTATCTTCCATGGATCTTTTTCTGTGATCTGGTTTCTAATGGACTTAAGAGCAAATTAGTTATTGTGTTATCTGCGCATCTTGCAGAAAATCCAGTTCAAAATGGTTCTCCAGAGGAGCGAGTCCATCCAGTCAAAGTCAGCCAGAAGCCTAATGGAGTGCAAAATGATCATTCTCTTCAGAGAGATGACACCTACAAGACTCTCAGTGGCCATAGAGCTGGTGAGGCTGCTATTGTGTATGAGCATGGAGCTGACATTGAGGCACTGATGCCAAAGCTCCGGCGATCTGATTACTATACAGAACCTAGAATCCAGGAACTGGCAGCAAAAGAAAGAGGTGATCCAGGGTATTGCCGTCATGTAAAGGACTTTGTGGTTGGAAGACATGGGTTTGGAAGCATCAAGTTCCTTGGCGAGACAGATGTGCGACGGCTTGATCTGGAGTCTCTTATTCAGTTCAACAACCGAGAGGTGATTGTGTACATGGATGATAGCAAGAAACCACCTGTTGGTCAGGGTCTTAATAAACCTGCTGTAGTAACACTTCTCAACATAAAATGCTTTGACAAAAAGACTGGACGTCAGTATACAGAAGGACCAAAAGCTGAGAAATACAAGGAGATGCTTAAGAGGAAGACGGAGGATCAAGGAGCTGAGTTTGTGTCTTATGACCCCGTAAAAGGAGAGTGGAAGTTTAGGGTCAATCACTTTAGTAGGTACAAGCTTGTAGATGAAGAGGATGATGACACAGAAACTTATTCTTCCTCAAGTCGCTGACAAGGAGATTTGGCCAACAGTCTATCTGGTGCCTGGTTCAAAGATTTATCCCTCGGGCTTTGCCTTGTATGGAGGGTAGTTTTGAATTGTACATAAGTCCGCCAAATCGTGTGGTATTTCCAGTATGACATGCTGGTTCTGTTGTTGTTTCAATCTTTTGGTCTCCTTCTTTTTTTTTTTTTTTTTTTTTTTTTTTTTTTTCGGTTTATCTTTCACCACTTTTCTGCCCTTCACAATTTGTTATTTCTAGACTCGTATTGACTGTTCCATCTGAAATGAAAATACATCTTTTTGCTTAGTTAAATGTTTTGTGTGCAATCTCCCTTTTTTAAGTTTCAAATATCTGCATTTTCTTTTCGTTTGGCTAGACGCGTGAATCGTTTGATTGCATGAATCGCTTGGCGACACGATTATGAGACGTCCATTGTAGGTGTTCCTAAATTTAATTTTATATGTAGTGTTTGTCTGTGTTTAGAGACATGCATGTTTCTCCCTCGGTAAACTACGAAACTCCTTTAATTTTTCCCGCTTGAAGTTTCCATAAACCTAAATTCCCAACTCAATAATCCTCTAAATGGTGTTCGCGTAGAATTCGAAAAAGTTGTTGCTGTGGTTGCAAGGCATTGATGGGCTGTTGTTCTGAGTCCACGTGACAGGCCAGCTAGTCAAGGGGTGTGTTAAATATATATATATATATATATATATAGATATATAATACTCTTTTTGCAATTTGATTTGCACAACTGGGAATCCTATAATTATAATGCTGGGAGATATTTTAGGTTAGGCAGTTCATTTATCTAACACTTTCAGAACTCAAGTGGAAAGAAAATGATTCCAGCAGCATAATGCTATATTGCTAGGAGAAAAAGTATGGTTAGGTTGCTTTCAGGATTGAAGCAAAGTCAAGTTCTCCCCATAATCGGAAAAACTAGTGGATGGATTACCATATTGCTTTGATATCGAATTGGAAGGTTTTTATGCAATTTGACAATAGCGAGGGACACACATAATGTTGTCTAAGGCCTCTGGTAGTTGTAAGGCAACTTTGAAAATCATGAAATAAAAAATAATGATCAACCCAATTTCTTACAACAAGGTCACGATTGGACAGCTCCTTTCTGTACTATATAAGGGTTTGCTCTTTATTGGGTGTCCAAGCATATTGAAATGGGATCAAATTTCCTATGGCTGGTACTTATAACACTGGTTTCACTAAAAGGGTGGTCGTGTCATGGCTGCTTGGAGCAGGAGAAGCTCGCCCTGTTGCATCTCAAACCTTTATTCAATGATCCTCACTTGAAGTTGAAAAGTTGGAAAGGAAATGACAGTTCAGATTGTTGCCAATGGAAACGTGTCAAGTGCAACACCACCACAGGCCGAGTCATCGGACTCTTTCTTTCTGGTGTTTCTCATCATATCCTACAACTGGACGACTCCTTATTTCTTCCATTCGAAGAATTGAAGAGTCTTGACTTAAGCAACAACCAAATTGTTGGTTTCTTTGAGGACAAAGGTCCTGTAAAATTTCAAATGGATTTATCTTTTTCGTTAGCCACTGGGAAATTCTATTCCTGCTTTTATTTTTTGCATTTTTAGCCCATTGGTGACGGTTGCTGATGCTACTGCAGTGCATTTTTTGTTTATTTTTTTCAAAATGACAAAGATCTTAATTAGTATTGTTTTGCAGGATTCCAAGGGCAATTGAGCAATCTAGAGTTCCTAGACTTGAGTGAAAATAAATTGAACGAAAGCATTTTATGGTCTTTGGGGGGGTTTTTGTCCATCATGTCTCTAAATCTTGAAGCAAACGCTTTCACAGGCAAAGGTAAACTGTCACTCGTGTCTACTTTAATTGTTCTAGAAAAACATAAATATATATGGATAGAGATTGTTATTTTGCAGGTATTGAACAGATATCAAGAATGACAAGTTTGGCGACTCTCAATTTGGGCTTTAACAGACTGAACTATAGCATTCTTTCATATCTTGGTGGTCTTCCATCTTTAAAAACTTTAATTCTTGATGGTGGCGTCTTTAAAGGAAGGATTTATCCTGAAGGTTGGATTGTTTGCTTAGTTTCTTTCATTTCTCTCATTAATTTGGAAAGGAATGGATCATGTTTACTTACAAGTCTTTGTTATTTGACTTTTACAGATCAGCTTAGTCTCAAGAACTTAGAGTCTTTGCTAATCGATGGGTCTTTTATCCGTAAGAGCTTTCTTCAATCAATTGGAAGCATGACCTCCCTCAAGGTTTTGTCATTATCCTTGTGTGAACTCAATGGAGCTTTACCCACTAAAGGTTGGTCCGTTGAAATAATTTTTCTGTCATGTCCCATGTCAATTTGTATTTTGAAGTAACCAGTTAGGAATTTTTTGGGTGGATAGGTCTATGTGAATTAACTCATCTCAAAGAATTGGATATCAGCTACAACAATTTCAGTGGATATTTGCCTTGGTGCTTCTCAAACCTAACATCCCTTGAATTTTTAGACCTCTCATATAACCAGTTCTCTGGAAATATTTCCCTATCTCCATTTCAGAGTCTAACATCCATCCGATATTTGTTTCTTTCCGATAATCAATTCCAAATCCCAAGTTCACTTAGACCTTTTCTCAACCTTTCAAAACTCAAGATTATGTATGCAGAAAATAATCAAGTATATGATGACAGAGGGCTATATTCCTCAGTTCCAAAATTCCAGTTGAATAACATCCTTTTGTCTTGCTGTGGAAATGGTGGAGCACTTCCTAAGTTCCTCTACCATCAACATGATCTACAACATGTTGATCTCTCTAACATTAATTTGTCAGGATATTTTCCAAATTGGTTGTTGGAGAATAACACAGGACTGCAAACACTTAAACTGAGCAATAATTCTCTTTCGGGTCCTTTGCAGATGCCATTTCAATCTCATAGAAACTTGTATTGGTTAGATCTCTCTCAGAATCACTTAGATGGCTGCATTGATCAAGAGATTGGAGCATATTTACCGGAGCTAGTAGATCTAGACATTTCAAGAAATTCTTTCAATGGTACCATTCCTTCCTCCTTTGGTGACATGAAATGGCTACAGTTCTTGGATGCATCCAACAATAACTTGTCTGGTGAAATTCCTGAGCATTTTGCCATGGGTTGTTATTCTTTAACGCAACTTATACTGTCAAACAATCATTTGAAAGGTCAGATATTCCATTCAAAATCTAATTGGGCATTCTTGGGAATTTTAAGGTTGGATGGCAATTGTTTTAGCGGGCAAATCCCACACAGCATGTTGAGGTTGAACAGTTCCTTGATGGAGCTTGGAATTAGTGACAATTACCTTTCTGGTACGATCCCAAGATGGCTAGGGAATTTGACAAACTTGAAAACCATTCTCATGGGAAATAATAGTTTTGAAGGTCCAATCCCAATAGAGTTGTGTCAGCTCCAATCCCTCGCAGTTCTTGACCTTTCTAGAAACAATATTTCTGGGAAGCTAATGTCTTGCTCTTTCCCATTCATGGTTGAGATGCATTTGTCTAGAAATAGGTTAGAAGGACCGCTGACAAACGCAATCTGCAACAACTCTCTGTTCCTATTAGCATTAGATCTCAGCGACAATTACTTTACGGGTAAAATTCCTGGTTGCATTGATGAACTACAACAGTTGAGCTTTCTTCTATTGAGTAAGAATAAATTTGAAGGGAATATTCCAACTCAGCTATGCAGGTTAAACTGGTTGGGCATGATAGATCTTTCTCACAATAATCTTTCGGGTGCGATTCCAGCTTGCCTAAATGTCATTTGTTTGGATGAAGTATTGCGGACAAAAATGGGATATGTTGAGTTTTTGAATCCTACTGACTTTTATCTTCGACCATTAGGATTCACGACGAAAGGTTCTTTTTATTTGTATGGAGGAAGCATTCTTCCTTACATGTCAGGGATTGATCTATCATCCAACAGATTGGTGGGTAAGATTCCTCATGAAATTGGAAATCTTAGTGAGATCCGTGCCCTAAACATATCCCATAATAGATTGGCAGGATCAATACCGCCAACGTTGTCTAACCTTGGGTTGATTGAGAGCCTAGATCTTTCTTACAACAATTTGAGTGGAGAAATTCCTCCTCAGCTTGTTGAGTTATGTTCATTAGCCTATTTTAGTGTGGCATACAACAACTTATCAGGCAAGACACCTGCTAGAGTCCAACAGTTTGCGACATTTGAAAAGAGTAGCTATGAGGGAAATCCTTTTCTTTGTGGAGAGCCATTGCGCAATAATTGCTTGGCAACTAGACCAGAACCTGTGTCAGAAAAGACCAATAATCCAACTGATGGTGTTTTCATTGATATGGAGGTCTTCTATGTGAGTTTCATTGTGTCTTATATAGTGGTGTTGTTGAGTGTTGCTGCAGTTCTCTACATAAATCCTTACTGGAGACGAGTGTGGTTCTATTACATTGAGATGGGCTACACTTCATGCTACTATTTTGTGGTAGATCATCTTCCCAAAGAATTGTGTTGAAGACAGTAGCCAAATATATAGGATATGTGTCATTGCTATATATTATCTGTTTCTCTTTATTACCTAGGTGGAACTTGAAGGGAGAACCCATTGATTTCCGCATAGATTTTCTGTTGTTACCTATTTGATGCATTCTTACGTAGAAAAACTTCATTAATCTTCCGAGTTTTAAGCTCCTTGTTGTCTTGTTAAAATTTTCATTTAAATGAAAACACATGGTATTTTAGATTTTTTTCTTTTATATATAAAAAAATGTAAGTTAAATATCATTCATTTTAAAGTCCCATTGTGTTTAAATGGAAAATGGTTTTTTAATTAGTAGTTAAGATATTTGCGGATAATGTGCACATTCTTTAAGATTGACTATTTCTTAATTTAGTTGAAATCAAATCATCAATGTTAGAATTAATAAATTTATAAAAAATAATTTTTTCATGACCTTTATAAAATAATCAAATTTTAAGTACTAAACAAAAGAGTACAACTTCTTGAGTTAATATCACTTTTACTAAGAGAAAATGTGACAATAAGTGTTTTGAACTATCATATTAAAAGATTTATTTATGTAATTTGACAAAAAAAAATTTGTTGTATAATTTAAAATGTATTAAATTAGATAACACTAATTATTAAATAAAAATGAAATTGTCAATATTAAGTTCTCCTTATGTAATAAATCTTATAAATAAATCTTATTTTATAATTGAAATTGTAAAACACATATAGGTTTCTCTTAACAATTCCAACACTTCTACTTTGAAAAAAAGTGCAGATGGGGTTATGAGTCAAGGTCTCCCTTTGCTATCGTATTGGAAGGTTTATGCAATTTGACAATTCCAACACTTCAAGAAAAGGTGAAGATAGGTGTTCCAAGTCAAGGTATCCCCTTTGAAAAATGCTTTGGTGTCGTATCGGAAGGGATATGCAATTTGACAATTCCAAAGAACTCCAGCAATGTTATTGTTAAAAGACCTCAACCTCAAGTACTTGCGAGGTGACTGAAAGAAAGTAACCAACTATAAAAACAAAACATTTATATTACATTACATAATTTAAAAAGGCAAAAAGGGCAAATCAGCCCTTGTACTTGTCAAATTATAGCAAAGCAGTCCTCAACTAAAAATAGACAGAAATCAGCCCTTCAA